AAAAAAAAAAAAAAAAAAAAACCTGGAGCCCTCACATTTGCCCACATTCGTCTCTTGCTTTGCCGTCCCACCACCTGACCCACTGTAAAGTTCACTCACTTATTTTTTTCCTTGTCTGTCTCCCCCACTGGGTGGTGAGTGTCATAAGGTCTGGAATCCTTATCTGTTTAGCTTACTGCTGTCCCCAACACAAGGATCCAATAAATATGGTTGGCCAGGCGCAGTGGCTCACGCTGTTATCCCAGCACTTTGCGAGTCTGAGGTAGGCGGATCACCTGAGGTTGGAAGTTCAAGACCAGCCTGTACAACATGGAGAAACCCCATCTCTACTAAAAATACAAAAAAAATTAGCTGGGCGTGGTGGCATGTGCCTGTAATCTCAGCCACTTGGGAGGCTGAGGCAAGAGAATCACTTGAACCCAGGAGGCTGAGGTTGCAGTGAGCCGAGATTGTGCCATTGCACTCCAGCCTGGGCAACAAGAGCAAGACTCTGTCTCAAAAACAATAAAAATAAATAAACAAATAAGGTTGAATGAGTGAATGAGAAGGGAAAAGCCCGTTACAAATGTCATGGAATGGGGTCTCAGATTCACTTGGGAATCTCACTGGCTGCATGAAATTATTAAATTTAAACCTTCAGGCCAAGCGCAGTGGCACACACCTGTAATCCCCACACCACAATTTGGGAGGCCAAGGTGGGTAGATCACTTGAGGCCAGGAGTTGGAGGCCAGCCTGGGCAAGATGGTGAATCCTCGTCTCTCCTAAAAATACAAAAATTAGCCAGGTGTGGTGGCACCCGCCTGTGGTTCCAGCCACTCGGGAGGCTGAGACACGAGAATCTCTTGAACCCGGGGGGCAGAGATTGCAGTGAGCTGAGATTGAGCCACTGCACCCCAGCCTGGGAGACAGAGCAAGACTGTCTGAAAAAAAAAAAAAAATTAAACATTCAGTTTCTCACATGGTGCTTTTGGCTACAACGTTGAATGGCACAGAATTCTAGAACACTCTCAACATTACAGAAACTTCTGTTGGACACTGCTACCATAGATCGTATCCTCACTCACCCCCCCACCAAAAAATGCAGTCACAGACACTCAATTTTCCCCATGTTCTTTCTAAAGCTACCAGAAGCCTCATTCTATGCAAATTTAGCAGAGGTGGCAAACTGGTGGCCCTGGGCTGGACACAGCCCCAATTGGGTTTCATTTGGGCCAATTGTTCTCTGACGGGCAGACCTGTCTACAGCTTGAACTTCCTGCAGATCAGTGATTCCCCAGGTGGGTCTCCCACAGGGCCCCGCTCTCCCCTGCCCCTCTAAGCCGGGAATCCTTGCCACCCACTCAGCAGAAATGTTCACCTCCTCCCTGGCCCCTAGGGCTATCTGAGATTGAGATCTTGGTTTACAGACTAAGTGGACAAGTAATTTGGGAGGGGGAGGAGTGGGGTAAAATCCAAATGGGGGCAGCTTCAGGAAGAGGTTGATCCAGCAGTCACAGAGCCTGGAGCCTGACCCCTGCACAGCCCCTGGCTGACCCTTTCTGGGACTCAGTTTCCTCCTCTGCAAAATAGGAATGATACAAAGACAATACAGTGTTGGGAGGATGAAGTGGTCCATGCTGGGCAGGTCAGGCCTGGATGAGTTCACTGTGGTGGTTCAAGTTGCTCATATGGCTGGGCTGGGCCGGGCGTGGTGGCTCACACCTGTCATCCCGGCACTTTGAGAGGCCCAGGCAGGCAGATCACTTGAGGTCAGCGGTTCAAGACCAGCTTGGCTGGGCATGGTGGCTCACACCTGTCATCCTGGCACTTTGAGAGGCCCAGGCAGGCAGATCACTTGAGGTCA